ACAACTCAGGAGTCTCTCTCCCTAACTCCCCACCTCCCCACCTTCGTTTGTGGAACACCCAGCTGTCCCAGGGAGGGAGGGATGCCTAGGGCCTCTGAACACTCCAGAAGCAAGGAAATTTCTCTTCATTTTCTAAGTGGATGCTATTCCCACGTGAATCACTGTTCCCCGAGACAGACCGAGGACCTTGAGTCCTCTCTTTGTTCACAGCCAGCACCACAGTGCAGTCCCACCAAGCGCAGACGGAGCACTTCCTCTGAGCTCCTCACAGCCAATTAGGAGAAGGCCACTGGAGTAGTGTCCCGTGGCCATCACAACCAACTGCCACAAACGTGATGGCTCAGAACAACAGGAGTTTGTTCTCGGGGCTTGATGCCCACAGTCAAGGTGTCTGAGGGTTGAGTCCTCTGTGTCCCTTGCCCCCTCCCACCTTCTGGTGGTTCCCCATGGCCCTGGCAATCCTTTGCTGGCGGGTGCCCCACTGCAGTCTCTGCCTTCACCACCACATGGCCTCCTTCTCTGGTCTTCTCCTTTGCTTTCTCTTACAAGGACCCAACCAATGGATGCGGAGCCCATGAGAATCCACCATGACCTCATCTCTGGATTCTCAAATGATGACATCTGCAGAGGGGCACTCTCATGGACCACTCCCCGCCCCTGGGATCCCCTGGCACCCAAATAGCAGACAGGCCTGTGAAATGAACAACTCTCGTGAGGAACACACTCCTTAGGACAATTACCCATACGAGCCAAAAGGGCAGCATTTCTCCAAAAACAAAGCTCAGAAGACAGGAAGGGGCAGAGAGAAGGACAGATGGAAACAGAGGGAGGAAGTGGGAAGAGTGCTGTCACAATGAGGGAATTGTAACCAGTGTCATCGACAAAATGTATATAAATTAGTGAATGGAGAACTAAGTTGCTCTGTGAACTTCCACCCAAACCACAATTTAAAAATATGTCAATGCAACATAACAAATGATAATATATGTCATGAAACGTCTTAAGATTAAAAAAAAAAAAAAGATGGCATATCCTGAGTTTTTGGGTGGGCATGCATTTTGGGGGACCTTATTCAACCCACTGCAGACATGATCATTTTTCTCTCTTTTGAAAGAAGAGTCTGGCAATGCCGGGACGGGAACCCGGGCAGCCTGGCATCCGCATCGCCCCCGCCATCCAGGCCCGTGGTTGGAAGAGCAGGCCCAGGAATGAGAAGCCCTGGACTCCAACCCTGACCGCAGGGACCTTGCCTTATGGTTCTGGTCCACTTACTTAATCTCTTTGGGCCACAGGTTTCTCATTTGTAAATCTGGGCTCACAGTTCCTACTCAGAGTGCTGTTAAGAGGATTAAATGTGTAAATGCAGGTAAAACATGAGATAATGTATGTAAAGCTCTTGGAAGGGGGTCTGGCCAGTGGTAGTGGCTCTCGGTAAATCTGAGCTCTTCAAATTGCACAAATATCACCGAGCGCCTGCTGTCCTCTGGGCAGCGCTGGGGTGCACACTGTTTCTGGCCCCAGCCGGCTGTCCATGTGAGGACATGACGGTTTATTAGTGGGGTGTCGACAGTCCTGTCTTGGCAGTGGTTGTGACTGGAAGTTGTAGCCGTCCCTGCTCGTGGATGATCATTTCTTTGGTTTCCTCCTGGTCCCTTTCCTTGTTGTGGGTTCTTTGGTCGGCTTTACCGTGGTAGACGTGCTTATCTAAATATTTAACAAATTTCTAATCACTGGACCATAAATATCTTTTGCTGCTCAAACTAGGATCTGTTTTTTTTTTTTTTTAATCTCCTGTGGCTGAAGCAGAACACAAAATTCCCCTCCTCAGACCCCCCCCCCCAATATATGTGTCTAGTGACATTTCATTTGGTTTCCTCAGATGGAAAATGGGGACAGAGGTAATACTCATCCCCATGGGCTTGTGTGAGAATCCAGGGCATGAAGACACATAAGACATTGGACAGCGCTAACACATGGAAGCCCAAGAAATTATAAAATTTGTTAATCAGTGCCTTTTTCTACCCCAAGTAAGGTAGTGGGGGGTGAACTCCGGTCTTGTCTGTAGAGAGTCACTGGTCTAGAGTGAGCTGTGGTCCTATTTATATTCCCAAGTGGCTCACACACAACCTGCCACTCAAGAAATCCCCCGTAAATGTTAGCAGACTGGATGAGTAATGTACAGTGGAAAAGAATTGCTGTATGGACGATTTCAGAGTTCAGGGTGCATGCTTCCTTCCCCAGCCCTTCCCCAGGGCAGGAAGTGAACAAGCTGACTCACTCACTGCCAAGTTCAGGAGCCCCCAAGACCTCTCTCACTGCTGACACCAACTGCTAGGTCAGGAGCCCCCAAGACCAACCTCAGGCTCAGTAATTCGCGGGAAGGACTCACAGGACTCAAGAAAAGCTGCTATACTCAAGATATGGTTTATTACAGCAAAAAAGTGCAGCTTAAAATCAGCTAAGGGAAGAGGCCCGTGGGGCCGTGTCCAGGAGATGCCAAGTATGAGCTTCCGGTGGAGTCATGGACAGCGCTTAGTGTCCCAGCAAGGATGAGTGAGGACCCACAGAGTGCTGCCACAGCCCTGGCACCCAGAGTTCATGCTGGCAGTGGGGGTGGTCACGTGAACTTGACTGATCCCACATGGCTGACCGCATCTCTAGCCCCTCCGGAAGCTGAGCTGATACCGCAGGCCCAACGCCCCCTCCATGAATGACATTGTTAACATGGCCTCTCTGGTATGGCCCAAGGCACCCAGCTAAACAAAGACACCTTTCAGGCAGGACATTCTAAGGGCTGAGCGGCCACCTCCCAGGGGCTGAAGGCCAAGGCCAGCCTTCTCTGTGGGCAAGAGTGAATCTTTGGACATCCACTGAGTGAGCACCAGACTGACACCCTGCAGACAGCTGGCTGTTTCGTTCCAAAGTGGGTGGACGCACACTCGCAGAGCAAGCTGGAAAGGCCTAAGGCAGGGACAGGCAGGGCGTCTCTTTCCGTGGTTTGCGGATGTTAGCCACTGGAACGTCACGGTGGCAAGAAAGCATTCTCCGAGGAAGAAGCAAAGGTGGGCCCCAGAATTCAGCCAGAAGAGCCATCAGGTCAGGGCCATGCAAGCGTCTGCATCCCTGCAGGGTCACCTGCATCTGCAGGGATTTCTCAGTAGGCTCCACAGGCAGGAGCCGCAGGAGGGTGTCGTCATCAAAGTCTGTGCAAAGGCCCCAAAGCAAGACCCAAAGCAGCCGCACCAGTCGGCCGCCTCATGGCCACGCCGTGAGCGCCACAGTAGAGCTGCATCTGTCCCACAGGGTTTGCAAGGGTTGTTTCTTCAGAAATAGATTGCCAGGCCTTCCTTCTGAGGCCCCTCGGGCGTGCATCTGCCGTCTGCCGTCTGTGCTGCCCAGGAACTCCACGAAGGTGTGAGGGGCAAAGGAGGCAGAGCATTTTCCTCTCTAATGGATTTTGTCTTGCGTTTGTTGCTGAGAATGCACACAGTGGCGCGTACAGCAGCCCCACAGCTACCGCGTGGACAGTTCTGTGACACGCGGGACCTTCCTCCCGTTGTGCCACCTTCCTCACCCGTCTTTTTCATTTAATCAAAACTGCAGGCTTCTGGATCCCCTAACTCCACCCCAGGCTCGCTGTGGTAGGCGGCAAAAACTAGGGGCTCCAGTCTGGAACTCTCCCTGCTAGTGCTCAAACTGCTGCCCTGGCAGGGGTTTCTTTTTGGGTCTTAAAGGGGTTTTGATTCAGATCCTTTTGTTTAAAGCTTCACCTTCCTGGGAGGGCACTCCCCTGTGTAGCCGGCATGGCCCACCCTGCTGGTGTGTGCGGGTGTGATTGGTTATATCTTTCTGGGCGTCTGGTGGCGGTGGCCTGTCTGTCTGCACGGACCTCCTCTGCCAACAGGCCTCTTGTCCCAGCACACACTGCTCTCTGCACAGGGCAGGCTTTCTGTCCCGTGAGAAGAGCATCTGGAGCCTTGCTGGGCACTGACCTTGCCCCCCAGGCTGGGGGAGGCAGAGAGGCTCAGTGACTACCGTTGAGCACCATTCACACTGTCACCTGAGTCCCGACAAGTCAGAGCACTTCCTGTGGGACTTAGCATGTTTGTTTAAGTCCCCACACACCCATGGTTGTGCTCTCATCCAAACTATTGTCTGCAGAACCTCCAGGGGTCCCCAGGAGGCTCTTGGAGGCCCTGACCTTCCCAGGACACCCCACTGCTTGAGGGCCGGTCCTGGCTTTGCAGCAGCATGTTGTTGTTGTTGTTATGTGCCGTCGAGTCGGCCCCGATTCATAGCGAGCCCTCCATGGGTTACTGAGGCAGTATTACTACGGAAGTAGATTGCCCAACCTTCCTTCCGAGGAGTGGCTGGTGGGTTTGAACCGCCAGCCTTCTGGTTAGCAGTCAAGTGCCTTAGGCACTATGCTACCAGAGGGATTAATGAGCCTGGAACTGACCTCCCAGGCCATCTCAGTGGCCGGAGTGCCTGGTTCCTCAGTGTTTCCTGTGGAATTGGGTTCTGCAAACATGGGACCGGGCAGCAGCTGCTGTTCCATCTGGCCTGGGTGCTGTGCCTGCTGCCCCCGCCCGACGACGAGGACGGGGGCGGGGGCGGGGGCGGGGGCCGAGGACGCCTGTTGTGTCCTTGGGCCATGGCAGCCCAGGACCTCCCTCGGCCCCTCCACCCACAGGGACAGCACGCTGCCACTCACAGACAGGCCTGCAGAGCCATCCCTCCTGCTCATGCCTGCCTCACACCTATGATGCCCTGGGATTCCTGGGCCAGAACGTAGTTGGCTCCAATGATTAGACTCGTGTCTGGGTGTTTGTAAAAGCAAAGGGGTGCCCGTCAGCTGACCGCCACCCTCCTCACCTCCCCCAGAGGAACAGGGCAGCACTCTGGTCGTTTGTCCCAGGCAATCTGCTCGCGCGTGGTATTGTATTACCAGGTTAGAACTGAAATCGTCGACCTTTTTTTTTCTTTTTCCCACTCAACAGAATTAAAGCGGCAGCAGGAGTGAAGGTCACAGCAGTGAGAGTCAGCAGTGAGGACCAGTGGGCCGTCCAGGAGGAGGTGGAAAATGGCAGTGAGCAGACCTCGGCCACCCTCACCTGCATGGGCCACCGCCCGGACACGCAGGGCAGGTGAGCACCACGTCCTCAAGGCACCTGGGCAGCGACGGGGTGAGCAGGGGGTGCAGGAGCTGAAAGCAGACAGTGAGGTACTTTGCTCTCGTGCAAAAGGAGCTCTGTGGCACACTGGTTCAGGCACTCAATTGCTAACCAAAAGCCAGCGGTTTGAACCCGTCAGCCAGTCCAAGGGAGGAAGATGAGACAGTCTGCTTCTGTAAAGAGTACATCCTTGGAGACCCTGTGGGCAGTTCTGCTCTGTCCTCTAGGGGTGCTGTGAGTTAGAATCAACTCCATGGCAGTGGGTGTGGTTTAGGCTTTGCTTCTGTGAAGACTGGCAGCTTTGGAAACCATGTGGGGCAGTTCCACTCTGTCCTCTAGGGGCGCTGTGGGTCGGAATGGACTCCAGGCAGTGGGTGTGGTTTGGGCTT